ACCACCAGTGAAAACATATATTTTACTATAATTTTAAAGGAATTACTAATAATATGATCAGCGTACCAATTTGAGTCTAATAACCTACATACTGTATATTGCAGTATTACATTTAAAAAAAAAATTTCTTTCATTTTACTATAATGTTTCTTCACTCTAATAAACTTTATTTCCATCTTCAAATTATATTTAGATTCCCAGATTTTCAGTGTGGCCTTGACCTTAGTACTTGCACATGTGCTTGTAAGTGCATGTTCCCCTGTCTTATTCTGTGAGTGTGTCTTATCCCAGACCCATGATTGACCGGTGGCTCCTAAGAAAGCTGATTAGAGGTGTGTGTGAATTAAAGGGGGTGTGCTTTCTGCCGAAGCAGATGCAGGGCGCAGCCAGAGAGGTGAGAGACACCTTCCCTTTAAGAGTGTATTTTTAGCCAGCCAGTTATTAGTGCTCATTGGGAGGGAAAACGGGGTGTTAAGGGAGGAATTAAGCACATGCAGACTGTCTAAGAAGGATGTGGAGATCAGGACGACTAATATACCACAAATGAAACGTTGTCCCTAGAACGAAGTGCACAAGGAGCTGTCCACTCATCAGTACTACAGCCAACAACAGACAGACAGCTTGTAGTGCAGGTATGTGACCCTTTGCTCTCTTCTGCATCCAGTTTTAAATCTCTTTGTCAGTTCTTTCTCACTTCCTCTTGCAACTCTGCAGCACTTATAACTCTTGCCACATGTGTGATAGTTGTTTTTGTATGTGTTAGTGACTATACACTTGCACAGTCACTTCTGAATCATATTCTCGACAGAAATCGTATTATGTTTACAGGTAGAAATTATTATCAAAACTACCACACTGTCCTGATTTCATGATTCATATAAAGCTCACAGCTTGTGTAACTTTTATTAATAATGTTTTATCTCCCTTACATTCATCTGAAGGGTCATGCCAGCCATATTTTCTGTATTGAAGCCCATATTCAACTTTAATGAGCAACGCACTGTGTGTGTGATTAGGTTTCAGGCTTCAGTTACACTTCTCTGCTTCTCTGAGCGCTGTAAGTCACCCATAAACACCGGCATACATACATGTCGCACAGCAACACACACACACACACTCACTGGCACATTGTAAAACATTATTAATGTGTACAATGTGTGTATATGAGTGTGTATGTGTATTCATTAGAGAGACAGGCTGCTACAGGAAGTCAGGTGAGCATTTGTGGGTAGAGAATATACAGTACCGCTCAAAAGTTTGATTAAATTTTTAACATTTATAATGTTACAAAACATTCTATTACAAAAAAAAATGCTCTTCCTTTGAACTTTCTATTCATCAAATAATCCTGGGGAAAAAATGTGTCACAGTTTCCACTAATCCAGCAAAACTGTTTTCAACATTGATAATAATTAGAAATGTTTCTTGAGCACCAAATCAGCATATTAGAATGATTTCTGAATGGTCATGTGACACTGAAGACTGGAGTAATGGCTGCTGAAAATTCAGCTTTGCCATCACAGGAATAAATTACATTTTAATTAAAATAGAAAACAGTTATTTTAAATTGTAACAATATTTCACAATCTTACTGTTTTTTTGTGCAGCCCATAAATGCAGCCCTGGTGAGCATAAGAAATACAAAACTTGCCCCCAAACTTTTGAATGGCACGGTAAAAACAGTTTGACCAGGTTTCATAGCTATATTTACAATGGTGTGTGTGTGTGACATTGTATATGTGTGTGTACTTCCGCTTCGGAGCATTAATGTCATTAGTGTTCGCTCCAGTGGTCAGCCCTGTGTGGGGAAGGCTGTCTGTTCTGGGCCGCCGTTCATCACTGTAGACGAGAGGGAGAGGAAAAGTGGGAATAAGAGCAGGACAACCCCCTAACAACAATAATAGTAATCTTTGACTCTCCTGTCATTGTATTTATCCTGATTGTGGTGCCAACAGCAGATAGTCATGATAGAGAGCTTAACTTACTGCTAATGCCGTTTGATCTGGTTAATTGATGTGTGGAGATGGTTAGAGCATCTGTGGATCTTGATAAGAGTCCATCTCCTCGATATAGCCCAGGGACAACAACTGGTCACGCAAGGACGAATTCCCCCTGGAGCTGTGGACTGGGCTGAATAAGCTTTCACTGTCACATCACACAGCCGTCACTCTGATGTTAAACAGGGTGGAGAGGATAACACGTAATAGTTAAAAGGAAGCCAGAAACTGCATTAGAAGAATCTGAGATCCTTATAGGTATGAAATGCATGTAGTAGCATGACTGCCTGGTGTCTGAGCCTTGAATGAAAAGGCCAGATCTTGCAGAAGTGTGTGCAGTTGACATGAAAGAATGATACCAGTGTTGTTTTTGGTAACTAAACTAAGTTTTTTTTTTGTTGTTGTCATTTTTGGCAACTAATTGAAATAAAATAAGTTGAAGTACTAAAATTACTAAAACTGAAATAAAATTTACGCGAAATAGAAATATGTAAAAAAAAAAAAAAAAAAAGCAAATCAAAATGTGTTAAAACTTAAATTTAAATAAAAACTGAAAATATAAAAATAAAAGGAAAGGAAAGGATGTGACGTGTGAATTTGTGCGCTGCATTTAACCCAGCCAAGTGCACACACACAGCAGTGAGTAGTGAAACATGCACACACACACACACACCATGAACACACACCCGGAGCAGTGAGCAGCCAATGCTGCGGCACCCGGAGAGCAGTTGGGGGTTCGGTGCCTTGCTCAAGGGTCTCACCTCAGTTGTGGTATTGAGGGTGGAGAGAGCGCTGGATATTCACTCCCCCCACCTACAATCCCTGCCGGACCTGAGACTCGAACCCGCACCCTTCGGGTTACAAGTCCGAAGCTAATTCAAAATATGAATACATTTACATATAATAGCATATAAATAAATACCAAAATAACACATACATTCAATGATTAAACGTGTTGGTTGGTGTAACCCTGTAAATGGACAAATTATGGATCAGATTTTTACAGTAAGCATTCATTTTCTTTGCCTAATTGGTTTCCGGTATGGAGCTGTTGCATTGTTAAAACCATAGCTGAAGATAAAGCAGATGCTCAGTCGTGCTCCTAGAGATCTTCCTTCCTGCCGTGTTTGGTTCCAACCCTGCTGTTACACACCTGTCTGTAATTTTCAAGAGATCCAGAAGACTTTAATTAGCTGGTTCAGGATTTTCCCTGTGGCCTTTTTTGCCATTTTTATTGATGAAACACTATAGAAAGCACTTAAAATGATTGGGAGAAGAGGGGCCAATGGGATCAGGAAATCACTACCGCTCAAAATGTCAGATGCATGTGTGCTAACAGCTAGGCTATGGTTCAGACATTTTTTTTTTTGTTGAGATAAAGCACTTCTGGTTTTAGTTTCAGAAGTGTTTCTAGCATGATCACATCTCCATATTAGATTATGCAATGAAAATGGACACTTCCTGTAAAATCGGATCTGTTTTGGTCTATTCACGGGGTTTTAAGTTCAGAATGACTCACTAAATGTGTTTTTGCATTTAATTTGGCAACTGTTTAAGAATTTTAGGAAATGTATTCAGCCCTGGATAACAAATTTTATCCCATATGTTTTGTTCAGAACTGGCTCAGTGATGTGTTGATCTGGTGAGAGTGATCCTGCAGTCAGCTTTATCTCTGCACAAAAGTGGGAATCAATAAAGGTTGCTAATGGAGACAGGATTTTCTTCCGTCACTCCTCAAGGCTGCTCAGACATTGTTATATTAAGTTGCATGTCTGAGACTTTCGGGGTTTCAATTCATAGAACATGCTATTGTTGGAGCAAAATGAAAATCCTACAGCCTTCAGACCTACCGTCTGCAATGTTGTTTCTCTGTGAAACCAACAGGTTTTGTGTCCTCTAACATTTGATTTTGAGGACAAACGGCACTGTCGAGGCATACAGCCCTGTAAAGCGGGCAATGTGTCCCTGCAAATTCTCCCTCTGACTCTGTAGAAGTAATTGGTGACAAACTCCTTCAGTGTCTCCTTCTGTCTCCAGGCCCTTGGCATATCTGTGAGCCAAGGACATATTGATGACTTATGGACATATTGATGCAGTGACTCAAGATTCCTATTCAGCAGACGATCTGTGAGCAGGATGACTGAGTCTGTGAATGGATGTGTTTGTGAATGTGTGATCTATGCAGTGGTTGAATGACTAAACCTTACGGCAAGTAATTCACTCTTATGCACCAAAGCAGACAACTAGAGAAAAGTACAGCACTGTTTCGGTTTTATTTTACAGTTTTAACCATTATATTCTTTCTCAAAGCAGCTTGAAAAGGGTGCAAATATCACCAAAGTAACAGAGCAGGGAGCTAAGAATAAATTCAAGTACTAAGAGCCGAGGGAACACTTATAATAATGCTACAATATCAAATACAGTGCTGATAGTGTGGAAGTGAGAGTAGCCTAAAGTAAGAACTAATCATTTTTAGACCATAAAATGTTACCCCTTGGTGTTCTGCTCTGATTGGTTACACTGTGTTCAGCTGCAGAGTTTGTAGTTTTAATATCTTGTAGATTTTTTCACTTCAAAACAACTCATGAAACTGCTTATACATTTTAGTTTGGAGCCACCATAAAAGAAAACATACATTTTTGGACTTTTTACTCAAAACTTTAAAGAATAGTTTTTCTAAAAATGAAAATTTGCTGAAAATTTACTCACCGTAAAGCTATCCAAGATGTAGATGAGTTTTGTGTCTTCATTAGGAAAGATTTAGAGAAATGTAGCATTACTTCACCTGCTCACCAGTGGATCCTCTGCAGTGAATGGGTGCCGTCAGAATCAGTCCAAACAGCTGATAAAAACATAAAAATAATCCACACAGCTCCAGTCCATCAGTTAATGTCTTGTGAAGCGATTAGAAACAAATCCAGCTGCTCTCCACCAAATCGGTTCGTTAATTAGGGAATTATTGGCTCGGCTTGAAAGCAAAATAAACAGGGTAATTATGAGAAGATTTGTTAATTCTAAGGCGCTTTGTCCCTTTAATTCCGTTTTTTCCAACGGCGACGTCTTATGATCACCTGCGAGGGGCGGGACATGCGCGTTGGATGGATGGAGGAGGGAGGCGCACAACTCTAGACCTACACCCGCACGGAGAGGCTATACTCTCGGGATGCGCGTTATCGCCACAGAGACCCTCGACTGAAATGGAGAAACAAAACGCCATGCATCCAAAACAACCGCGGATACCGACGCCGTCGCCTTATTCCGGACATTAAGAGCCGTATCGCCGCGTAATTAGCTGGAGGGAGGGGGATTAAAAGGGAAAGGGGGTCGATCATGGGGAACGAAGCGAGCCTCGAAGGCGGCGAAGGGGCGCTCGCTGGATTACCAGCGGGACTCGCACCTGATGGGAAGGGTGGCTTCAAGATGCCCGCTGGGGTGGAGGCAGACCTCAGTAATCTATCTGAGGAGGAAAGAAAGCAGCTTGTGGCCGCTATGGCCAAAGCGCAGTCCAGGCAAGTTGAAGTGTCTATAAATGTTTGCCGTAATCATGATGATGATGTCCGTCCCTCCAGTGCCAGAGCGCTTGCATTGAACGCGTCGATAATGTGCTTGTGTTTTGATCATCAGGGCACTGCAGGTTGGCACATCACGACAGCAGCACCGATGCAAAAACATGATCACACCCATTCACGCTCTTGCTGCATGTTTCCGGCCGTTTTATAGCGAGATATTTAATCCAGCCCAATTTTCAGCCATGCATATGATTGCAATTTAGTACCTCCTTAGTGCACTTCTGTTTTATAGCTATACATATCGGTATAACCTACCACTGATTCGAACGAAACGCATTTTTTATCATTAGTATCATCATCGTTAATATGGTGGGACACTGTATGTGCACAGTGGATGTGCATAGTATTTTAATGAATGTAGTTTTCTTTAAACCACCTTATTCAATCCATGCAAGACACCAGGGTTATAGATTGAATTAAAAATAAGCATTTCCTTGAAAAATATGAATCCATACTGACAAATATCCGTCCTATGTGTATCCAGATATCCGTTGCGTTCTCCATGCACACTCCATCTTCCTCCTATGGGCTGTGTAGGTGATGTCATGAGCAGCTTTGGAAAACACTGCCTGAGAATAACACAAGTCTATGAAAATTCGATCACTTGAAAGCACGCGATCGACATTCCATTTGACATGATCTGGTTCGTAAGCTAATTGAATTGTGTCTTTAAAGTTTCTTAGGCGTAAATGTGTTATTTTTACCCAAGCGCAAATGGGGGGAGGGGGTATAAATATTAATATGACTAAATATAGCACTGCAAGCACAAATGCCATCATGCTCATTGATCGCTTTTGCTTATTTTTGGGGAGCGTGCGTGTAGTATTACACCTGAAAACAAGGACTGTGTTACAGTTACATATATTGTATATTGTTCGCTGTCCGTGGTGCTGAAACGCTTGCAGCGATGCCTAAGTAAAGAGCGCCACTCGATCAGAAACAATACGAATATTAGACGTGGCGTGATTATCTTTTATGGGAGGCTGAATGACAGGACACTCAAATATATGTAAAATAACGCCCATGAGAACCACTAACCGTTTAAGATGCTGTGCTGAACAGCCACTGAGCTAACAATAGTGATGCACTGAAATTAAATTATGGTGAAAATGGGCCAAAAACCAAGAAATGTTACTTTAAATTAGCCTTTATTTTTGATAAATAAATTCTATTAAAATGATCATATTTTGATAAGTAATTACACTTCTTTTTTCTTCAGTTGGCATTACTAGAATAACATAAAGGCCAGAGAAACTTTACAGATGTAAAAACTAACATCAGGCTTTTGTAACTAGATCTGTAGAAATAGAGCACAATGGACAAATGCACTAAAAGAAAGGTGGTAGGTTGCCTTGTGACAGTCTCTGTCTTCTTACGAGGCGGTTTCTCTCTGTATTGAGATGCGCTAAATAGCCTTATAGCCCAACTGCAGGAAACCCCTCTTTATTAAAGCACTAATAACCAAGAGAGCAGTCTTCTGGCATGGGAACTTTAATACCCTAACTGGGAAACTCAAATATGTTTGTTAAATTTTTGAACACATATGAAGGTTATAGGTAACCATTGGTATATAATTTGAGGGCATATAATATTAATTTTGGCCTTTTTTGTGGCTTTAAGTTCTGGCACATCCTTAGTTAGCCTTTGTATTTCTTTTCTTTCACATTTAATTGTGATAAAAAATATTGACAATTAACGTTGTTTTTGACTTCTTCTGTGTGTTTTGTTGCTGCAGTCTCTTAGAATGAATAAACTATTTAAATATTGTTCACTGACAACAGTAATAGACTGCATATGTATTGTGGATATGTCTCAATCTTGTTTGTCTTATGTTGTGACCACGAAGCCAATTTTAGATTTACATTTTTCTGCTGCATGAATTTTGCTTTTGATTTGATTGTCTGAATAATTTGCATTGGCCTTTGAAATGTATTTTTGGAATTTATACAGAATAGCTATTAAGTAAATAAAGTACATTTAAGTTAATCACAGATTTTTCAAAATCTATGTTGACTTGAGACTAATGAATGTGAAGTTGACCTTATGTCTGTTCACTCCACAGGCCACCAGAGACTCAAGCTGGTGGCACCAGAGTCCCAGCAGGTCTCAGTAAAAGTCGGACTGTAGATGCATTTGGAGAGGGGCCGCCTCCCAAGCCAAAGCCTGGACGGAGCCCCTCCTCCCTCAGCCTCCTTGAGTCACGTTTCCGGCAGGAGCCCAAAGACCCAGAACAACCACGAACTGGCATGTTCTCGTCTGGCTTCTTGAGTGGGGCCAACCCCCTGAGTGCGGTCTCTTCTGCTGTCTCCTCTGCCAGCATCCCAAAGTTTAGTTTGTTTGGTGATGATGAGGAAGAGGTGCCTGCAAAGCAGGAAGGAAAGCCTCCTGGCCCACAGAGTGGAGCGGGCAAGGGTCCTCCGCAGCAAGGGGGTAAGCCACCTCAGCAAGGTCCAACTAAAGGACAGGGGCCTGAAGGTAAACCTGGAGGTCCTGGTCCCCAACAACAAGGACCCAAACCTAGTGGACCAGGACCTCAACAAGGACCCAAACCTGGGGGACCAGCAGCCCAACAGCAGGGACCTAAAACTGGGGGACCAGGACCCCAACAGCAGGGACCTAAACCTGGGGGACCAGGACCCAAACAGGGACCCAAACCTGGGGGACCAGGACCCCAACAGCAGGGACCTAAACCTGGTGGACCAGGACCTCAACAGGGACCCAAACCTGGGGGACCAGGAGCCCAACAACAGGGACCTAAACCTGGTGGACCAGGACCTCAACAGCAAGGACCCAAACCTGGAGGACCAGGCCCCCAGCAACAAGGGCCTGGGAAACCTGGTCCAGGGGTTGCAGCAAAATCCAGTGGACCTCAACAGCAGGGTAAACCTGGGCCGGTGGCTCAAGGGAAAGCAATGTGTCCTCTTTGTAATTCTACAGAGCTGAATCTGCAGGCTAAAGACCAGACACCCAACTACAACACCTGCACTCAGTGCAAACAGCAGGTGTGCAGCCTGTGCGGCTTCAGTCCACCAGACTCAGCGGTAAGAGCCATATCTGCTGCCTTCACTATATTATTCACATAGATCTCACACTGGTCTCACTTTTTACCCAGATATAGATAAGAGTGGCATATACTGTCAGCTTTTCGTACACAATGTACAAGGCTCTATTATTGTAGTCTTTCTTTGAAGACATCAGCAAAATCAGTTCATATTTTTTAATTAAAGCTGCAGGGTTTTATTTTAATAACCCTTCTTTGGTTCTGCCTAAAATGCTGCTTGCACTAATTCCTCTCATCCATGAGTTTGGGAGGAAAATATTGGCGCAGAAGGTGGAAGATTATCAAGGTCACTTACATCACCCAGACAGGAAGTGGAGAAAGTTGTTTTTCAATGTGTTTAGAAACTACATTCAGCAGTTATAAAGGCAGTGATTATACAGACGTTTGGCGTTATTCCTGGTCCCTGTTAGAGAGAATAACAGTATTACTCACACAGTGATGAGTGTACAGTGTTAGTCTTGTTTTTTAAAGGATTTTAAAGTGTGCATTGCAATAAATGACTCAGCCAAACCAACAATAAAAGTAAATTAAATGTTATTCATATAATTAAATCAGAAATTCATGACTTTCAGAGCTTACTAATCAATCCAATAAGAATAAAGGATTACAAAGAATAAATGATAACAGCAAGTTCTCCACAAATTAATATGTTGCATTGCATACTGGGTGTTTCTGTTGAGTGGCTGGCTATATAAATGAAAATATTTTGATTGCTATTTTCTAATGAGCTTGAGGTAATGCAAATCAATATTCTTACAGAAATGGTATTTGCTGCATCTGTGTTTGTGTGCCTTGACTTTCTCTGTTTGTTTCATCAGGGTAAGGAATGGTTGTGTCTGAACTGTCAGATGCAGCGGGCAGTGGGGGGCATGGAGCCTTCTGGACCTCCAATGATGAAACAGCCCCCCAAGCAGGGTTCTGCACCTCCCTCCCCACAAAGGAAAGAGCCACCGTCTGGGTCTCCCTCTAAGGGTGAGCCAGGGAAGAAGCCCCCAATGCTGACCAAACAACAGAGTATTGCTGATACTGGGAAAGGAAGTACACCTCCAACTACACCAAAATCTGGACCACAGCAGGGACCTCAGCCAGGACAACTAGGGGCCAAGCGTGGACAGCCTCCACCTCTTCAAAAACCTTCACAGAGCCCAAAAGGTAGTCCTCAGCCTTCTCCAGCAAAAACTACTCCAAAACAAGATGGAGGGGGCTTTTTTGGAGGATTTGGTCTGGGAGGATTGACAGAGGTGACAAAACCCTCTGTAGGTGCCCAGGCTAGCGAGTCAGTCGCAGGAAAACTCTTTGGTGGTTTTGGTGGGTCGTCCAAACCTCAGGCCGGCTCTACTGCTCAGGCCAGCGAGTCGGTCACTGGAAAACTCTTCAGTGGGTTCAGTGGTCTCACCGAGTCGGCTAAACCTACGCCAGCAAGTTCTCAGTCTGCCGAGAGCGTGTCTGGAAAGATGTTTGGTTTTGGCTCTTCCATCCTGAGCTCTGCCACCAATCTCATTTCTGGGGAGGAATCAAAGTCTCCCCCAGAATCTCCTCCAGGATCGCCCCCTGATTCTCCCATTGGATCTGAAGCAGACTCCCCTCCCGGATCCCTCTCTGACTCAGACTCAGAGTCACCTCCTGACACACCACCTGCTTATTCCAAAGACACAGCATCTCCAAAACCTACAGCTGCTGAAGGAAAAACATCAGCGGATATGCCCCCTCCAAAATCGACAGAAGTAGAGAAGCCTCCGACTCCAGTTTCAGGCTCTGAGGCCCAGTCCTGCTGTCCACTCTGTAAAGTGAAGCTGAACATGGGATCAGGAGAGTCACCTAACTATAGCACCTGTACAGAGTGCCAGAAGACTGTGTGCAACCTGTGTGGATTCAACCCCACTCCACATCTCTCAGAGGTAAGAGTTCTGCTGCAGCTCTTTGTTAAAGTGTTTTTGACCTTTGGTGTTTCTTTACCTTAGTTTATTAGTGTATTTCCTATTAAAACAGGAAGTTGGGCCAGAACACCTCAAATAGCTTGTTCTGTTTTTAGCCGCCTGTAGTTTTTAGTTTTTTATCACGGCCGGCAACACTAAAAGACTATTTATGCTACTTACGTTAGCTTGTCGTTGGCTGGTGGTATTTATAATTTAGGAGGATGGGACATGCTTATTCTAGAGGGCATTTTATTGGACAAGAATTTGTATATGTGCCTGTGAACAAAAGTTTGTTTTGGTCAATTTTTGAGGTGTGCATACTGTATGTGCTCCTTTTTATATAGTGATCAAAGGTGTGATTTACAGTGGGTTTTGGGTGATCTACGGTTCAAGCATTTCTCTTTTGCTGTTGCTCTTTGAAGTTTTGATTGTTTTGTTGCATTATACATAAGTCTCATCGTTCCTGTCCCTGTTTACTTAAAAAGCTTGACACTTCACTGTGTAATCCAATGCACTCTGAGCCTTTTCGAGTGAATGTGTTTAAGAATGTGTCTGCACTCATAGTCTGATCCCATCTCAGATGACTCACCAACTCACTTCCTGCTGGAAATTAGCCTTTGCTTTTTAGTGAACCCAGAAGGTAGGGAGGTATGTCTTAATGTTTTTAAAAATGAGCAAAGGAATATATTTGAGAGGATTGTTCATCTAAAAATGAAAATTCTGTCATTTACTCAGCCTCATGAAGAATTAATTTAAATTTTTAGGTGAACTATATAAAATTATTACTTTAATGTGTTTATTATGCATACGATTTGCTGTCATTTTATGATTCCTATTAGCATGAGTTGCCTAGATGAAGGATCTAGACCTCGCAGACTTTTGTTGATTAATAGGTTCTATAATTAGTTACTATATATTCTATAATTACCTACTAAATTATAATGTATAGTAGCTAATTACAGTAGCTAATTACAGGGTTCCCACAGTCTTGGAATGCCTGGAAATATCAGGTTTTAAAATTGAGATTTTTTTTTTTCTTCCCAGACCTTATAAAGTTGCAAAAATGCTTTTGCTCTTTGTGATTTGGCTGTGTAGAGCAACACTTGCATTCAGACCGGTGTGTCAACATCAGTCTGTCCGGTGAGGGTAACTGCCTGTGTGACTCGGAGCTAATAATTGTCTCCTATGGGACACAAAGTTGTCTTCCTGGAGCTGTATCAAATCTCACAATATATGTGTGTGTGTGTGTGTGTGTGTGTGTGTGTGTGTTTTATTTTTTTAATGTAAGTGTATTTGGCTATGACTATGATCATTTAAATGTATTCATTTGAGGTTTTGTCCTCCAACATACAAACTTGCAGTGTTTTTCATATGGAAAGAAGCCACTAAATTAAACTGGTAACCAAATCAGTTGCTGCAGAATAAGCCTAATCGGGTATATTCTGATACATTTTGTGGTAGTGGTTATTAATATTATCATTATTATACAGTGCATGTTTTTTTGTGTGAAATAAAACTTTCTGCTTACTGTGGTAAATAGTTAATTTTTGTATAGTTCTTTGTAACAAGAATTGTTATTCCAAGTGAGAGCATGTCTTTAAACAAATTATAACATTCCTCAAGGGAACTTCACGTGTTATTCCATCCGTATGAACAGATTTTGCTAAGCTGACATGTTTTGACCTCCACGCCGCGGCCTTTGATGGCTCTCACGTGTAAAACACCCCCTGTGTTTGATCGTGGGTTTGTACACCAGGTTGCTCATTCTCTCTGTAATCCCGTGAGTCTATTTCAGGTTTTCCAAGCAGATTAGCCTGAGCATGTGCGTCTGGTTTCACCTCACATGGTGCAGCCAATGACTTCACTTATTATACTGTCAAGAGTACCCTACCAAGATGGCTGACAACACTGATCCCCATTTAGCTTAGACCAGAACTGAAAGCAGAGACAGTCCTGTCATTTTTAACTGCAGACAGGCCTTATTATAGTAGACGTTAATGCATGAGACTACATGCCTTTGCAGTGTGTTGTTTATTCGTCAGATCGTCCTGATCAAAAAGGCTCAAGGCTGAACAAAATTGCGTTATCAGGATCCATTTGAAGAACATCCTCACTTGAGATTAGATTTAGTCTCTCTCTCTCTTCCTGTGAGATTTCAACAATACTTGTGCTACTGTGACAATGTGGGGCGAGTGTGCATGTGAGCGTTTCTGTAGTAATCTGTTTGAGCTAACAGGATTTAAAGGGCAACAGCTGAGTTTTTCTAAAGGCCACTTTAGGGCCATATTTTAAAATCTCTCAATATGTACAACAAGGGTTTAATATGACACACTTTAGCTTTCACAGATTGTCTCCATTTCTCTTCATTGTTTCTCTTACCTATCTCTCTAGTGGCAACACACCTTCTCCATCAGATTTTTCACTTATTCATGTGACTGGAATTCCTTGTGGCGCTGCTCCTCTGCCTCATCTAACTCTCTCCTAACTCCCATTCTGTCTCTATTCTTTCTTCATCTTCATTCTTGGAATTTCTCGCTGGCTGTTTTGAAGGCTGGAAATGTTCCCTAGACCATCACAGACTGTGTATAATATAAAACACAAAGCATTTAAGAATCTGCCCAGAATCTAACATGCTCTGTTTATTTAAAATAGTGCTGTCAAACAATTAATCATGATTAATCGCATCCTAAATAAAAGTTTTTGTTTACATAATACATATGCACGTATATATTTTGAAAATATGATATAATTTATTATATATATAAATATATTTAATATATAAACATAACATATTTGTCTTAAATATATTCGTGCATGTGTGTGCATTTATATATACATAATAAATATACACAGTACACACCCATATATTATGTAAACAAAAACTTTTATTTAGGATGCGATTAATCATGATTAATCGTTTGACAGCACTAATTTAAACGAACATTTTGCTCAAGTCTTGCAGGAACATTTCAGGTTCAATGTAAGTTGAGCTCAACCAACAGCACTTGTGTCATAATGTTGATAACCTCTAATGTAATTTCAGCTTCATTTTCGATGTCTGCCCTATGCTAAAAATCAAGTATCTGGGTTACAGTGCGGCATAACAGAAGTGAATGGGGTTAAGCCATTCACAATAAAATACTGACTATTGCAGTATTATAACCACAAGACATAATCAAAATGCATGCATAATTACAATGGACATCTCAAAATGAATTTTTGTGGAAATAAACATGATGCTACCAATGCTGTTGATTAAACTTGACTTGTTCTGAACATGAAATACTCCTTTAACTTGACAGTATTTAACCCAGGACATTTAATTGTATCCGCAGACTCTAATCAGATTATTTTGTTTAACTATTAGCCTATATCAATGTTTTTAGTGGTCCAAATTCGTAATTGGCAGGACTGCGCTTAGTTGCACATGTCATTTTAGCTGATAAGCAATTCAACATCGTCCTTTTATCGCTAATGAGGTAGGCATTGTTGGACAAATCAGGTGTGACGCTTTTTCTGTGTGGCACAGTGTTGACAGTTTCACAACAGTCCCACAGACCAGGACCAGGGATTAGATTTCACACTCTCGGGTGTTTTTTTTATTTTTTTTTTGGTTGGCCATCTGCCTTAGGCTTTGAGTCACTTGCCAGCCACCTGATGTGTCATCCCTCCCCACAATGCACCCCCACCTCAAAGATGACCCTTTCATTCCATGCATACAGTCACAAACAGCCCAGTGTAACATGAAATCAAGTGCATGTTGTTTGTCTTTTGCCATGCCTCTATTCTCCAAGGTTTTGCCCACGCGCTCATGCTCACTGTGACCCATCCACCTCCCACTCCACCAGTGTAATAGATTTAGTTGACTCCCCTTCCTCAGTATTTCCAGCCCGGGGTCAGGTACAGCACTGCGTGGCCTCCCTCAGAGCAGAACTCCACAGTTTTACATAATCAACCACCTCCCTAAATCTGAGCATCCAGCAACCAGAACTGCTTCATGCTATTGTGCTGTCCTCTATAGCTGCAGAGCAGGCGTGATCGCATTCTGGCTTTGATAAAAAAGGATGCATTTCAACAGAGAATAATATAGTCAATATGCATTTCACCAGTTTACATACAAGTCAAAATGAAATCATAATTTACTTTCTAAATATGTGTTCCTAGTCTCAATGGGCATGACTCATCATTGCAAATTATTCCAAAGAAAAAAATGTGGTAACATTTTACTTAAAGCCTTTATGTATAAAGCATTATAAAGGGTTATTAAAGGCTATATTGCATTATAATTATTCATAATGTGCTTTGTAATACATTATATCTTGTCGTAAATAATTATAACCGAATTTAAAATGCATAGTGTAACAATAAATTGATAAGTGTTATAATGTCTTAACTGTGGTTACAACTATACTGGAGATTTTACAATGCATTATAAGGTGCATTACAAGGCATAATTAATGCATTAAAACTACTTTTATAATGCATTATA